CAGTGAAGGGGGAGGGCAGTGAGTTGAGAGGGTCTGGTTGGTACTGGGAGGGATTGGGATGTGCTGGGAGGAACTGGTTGTAATGGTAGGGAGGAGGGCAGTGAGATGAGAGGGTCTGGTTGATACTGGGGGGGCCTGGGGCATGCTGGGAGGTTGTGGTTGTAATGGAGGTGGTGGAGTACAGATTGATGAGAGGGTGTGGTTAATACTGGGAGGGACTGGGGTGTGCTGGGGGCGGTCTGGCTGTTACAGTGAAGGGGGAGGGCAGTGAGATAAGAGGGTGTGGTTATACTGGGGGTGGGATTGGGACATACTGGGAGAGATCAGGTTGTATGGGGGATTGGGCATGAGAGTCTCGTTGATACTGGGGAGATTGGGACATACTGGGGGAGTCTGGTTTTAATGTTGCAGAGGGGGAGCAGTGAGATGAGAGGGTCTGTTTGGTACTGGGGGGGACTGGGGCATGCTGGGAGCTTCTGGTTGTAATGGGTTTTGGGAAGGGGATGCAGTGGGAGTGTCTGGGTGATATCAGGGGAGACTGGGACATGCTGGGAGGGCTTCTGGTGTTCTTGGGGGGATGATATCAGGATACGCAGTGAGGATCCTTGTTGATACTGAGGGAAAACAGGGCCATGCTGGGAGTCTCTGGGGGGTGGAAAAAGGGTGAGGGGCTGGGTTGGGGGGCGGTCCTGGCCATCCCACAGGCACTGGGGATGCTGGGGGCGTTGCTGACGCTACTGGGGGGGTGAAAAAAATCATATATTTTTGGCCCAGCAGCTCCTACGCGGCTGTGGTTGGAGCCTTTCCCACTGCTGCGAATTCCTCCATCGCTGCTCGCTGCCTCTTCGCTCCCACATCCCCCCCAGCCCCTCCACTGAAATGATTCTTTTTCCTTTCCCGACGTATTTTCTCGCTTTTATTTAGAGCTTGTGAGCAGCAATTCCTTCATGGCTATCCTCGATACCCCAGCTATTGCTCCGCGCGTGGGACCGGTCGCCTCGATCAGTCCCGTGACTCTCTCCAAAATGGCCACTCGGCATCGCCCCGTCTTCGCCAAAGCCGTTTTCACCAGGGTTCCGCTCGGCTGTGGCACTGCCCGCCCGGGGAATACCTCTCCTGCTGCGTTTTAGGAGCACGTAAGCTTTTTTGGGACCCTTGTGGTCATCTGTCTCGGGCTGAACCCCCCAAATCTTCTCTGCTTTGGCATGTAGAAGCTCCTCTCCGGCAGACGCTTGCTGGTTTTTCCACCAACTGCATCGCTTTGCCACCCTTGTGCTTTTCTTGCTTTGCCCCTTTCCGTTCCTCTCGCTCGTGAGGTCTATGGGCGCTGCCTGTACGCTTTGATCCCTTCCCAAGAGCAGACCCTTCCAAAACCCCTCCACTTCAACCAACTGGTGGGGGTGGATCCCTCCTGGCCCTCAGTAAGCCCAACATCTTGCTCCATTCCTCTCCCAGTTAGCATCCCCGCGCCATGGCGGGCCTCAAGGGGCTCCCACATTGCTGTACCCAGCGCTGAGGCAGGTGAGGAAACCCTAGAACCCCCCTTGATGACTTCACTGTTGCTGTTGGCACCGGAAAACACCAAATTTATCGTTCTGCCTGAATTCCTGGTGGCAAGTTAGCCAGGATGAGCTGGGTGTCTGGATGGCAGCAAAGGCAGCCCTAAGAGTTGGCTTTTTCAGAGCCGGGGAAGTGTTTTTCTGATGAAAGGCCGGGCACGGGGCTCTTCACCGCCTGCTCGTGTGAGTGTCCTCCTCCGTGTCCCCCATGAACTGTGTCCTGCTGTGTCCATCCCTTTCTACCTGCGCAGCGATTCCCTCTTTTAACACATACCTCTCCTGCTGCGTTTTAGGAGCACGTAAGCTTTTTTGGGACCCTTGTGGTCATCTGTCTCGGGCTGAACCCCCCAAATCTTCTCTGCTTTGGCATGTAGAAGCTCCTCTCCGGCAGACGCTTGCTGGTTTTTCCACCAACTGCATCGCTTTGCCACCCTTGTGCTTTTCTTGCTTTGCCCCTTTCCGTTCCTCTCGCTCGTGAGGTCTATGGGCGCTGCCTGTACGCTTTGATCCCTTCCCAAGAGCAGACCCTTCCAAAACCCCTCCACTTCAACCAACTGGTGGGGGTGGATCCCTCCTGGCCCTCAGTAAGCCCAACATCTTGCTCCATTCCTCTCCCAGTTAGCATCCCCGCGCCATGGCGGGCCTCAAGGGGCTCCCACATTGCTGTACCCAGCGCTGAGGCAGGTGAGGAAACCCTAGAACCCCCCTTGATGACTTCACTGTTGCTGTTGGCACCGGAAAACACCAAATTTATCGTTCTGCCTGAATTCCTGGTGGCAAGTTAGCCAGGATGAGCTGGGTGTCTGGATGGCAGCAAAGGCAGCCCTAAGAGTTGGCTTTTTCAGAGCCGGGGAAGTGTTTTTCTGATGAAAGGCCGGGCACGGGGCTCTTCACCGCCTGCTCGTGTGAGTGTCCTCCTCCGTGTCCCCCATGAACTGTGTCCTGCTGTGTCCATCCCTTTCTACCTGCGCAGCGATTCCCTCTTTTAACACATGGATTTGAGAGTGGGGGGGACCCGAGACAGTGGGCTTGTTCTCCCCTCTGCTTGGAGGGTGCTTTCTGATCCCCGCCATGTGTCAACCCTGATGTCTCAACCCAAAGGGAAAGGCTCCACAGCCTCCGGGTGAGAAATGGTCAAATTCAGGCCGGAAAGGCAAGCGTGCCCTGGGAGAGGGGAATCCTGAGCCCTCTTCTCCACTTCCAGCGTTTCTTGTGCAGCAAAGGCTCAGCGCGGGCCATTGAAACAACAACGGGAGCGTCTTGTGTTCAACTTGCTGTCCCCTTCTCCCTTCCCGTACTATATTCAACCGTCACCATCATCTCCTCCCTTTTCAACATGGGATTCCTCAGCTTTGCTTTTTTGGGGTGTCCCATCCCAGTGCTCCTGCAGCCCTTTGGGTTGATGGTACTCGTTCCATGCCAGTGAGATGAAATTACGCCTGGAAACCCTCTCGCTTTGGCCATGAATTCCCTTCTCGGCACCTCAAGTCCCGGCCAGGGGTGGGAGGCACAGGTGAGGAGCGGCGTTTCTTGGGGCACCTCTTACTCGTTAAGCTTTAATGGGATCAAAGTGGTTATTAGTGGCGTTTAGCTCATTCACTCATAGCTCACCCCCTTGCCTTCCCCTGCAGTCTCCTGGCTGAGGCTCCATCCACAGCTGCTTTGGGCTCCCATGGACATCCAGGCGCTGGGGGTGTGTGGTAAATCCCTTGGAAAGACCCCGCTGCATCACTGGGTCGCTGTAATCTCATGAACTCCCGTTTGTTCATAGCACCCACCGGTTTATACCAAAGTGCACCCCCTGTCACAGATGCCACGTGGCCTGGTGGCCTCAGAGGTGTCTTTGTGCCCAGAGATTATCAGTTCTTGGGGGTCCGACCATGCCGGCAGGTCCCCAGCCCTTATCAGTCCTCGGGAGGCTTTGGCACGCTGCCCTTCCAGCCCGTACCTCTCTTCT